GTCAGCGAGGCACCACGCATTACCTTTAGGCGTGTGCGCCTGGTAGGTAGGCAACCCACACAACACGCCCCAAGTCGGCCCCCACCGCCGCGAAGCACTTCCGCGGCCCCTGCTCGTGATGGCCCTCCACGGACAAGTGATTCTCTGAGTAGCTGTCCCTCCTTTGCGCAGTGTAGCTATCACCGCTTCGTTGGTACGACTTAAAATTTTGGAGGATGGGGGGAGGAGGGTGTATTTCAAACAGGTTTAGCGGAGAGAGAACCATTTGTTATGCGAGCTTCTAAAGTGAATAATAATCTTTTACCTAATTATTTTGACAAATCCTTAGTGCGTGTCTCTACACTGATAAAATAAGTGTTCAACTGCTCAACACTTGCAACTGCAAGTTGAATACTTGCATGTGTGCAAGTCCGTAGTTGAGCATTTCACAGTGAAGTGAGCGGTCAATCTAAGGAAGTGTTCAACCAAGGATTTGCACACTCGCAAGTGCACACCTAACGAGTTTAACACTTGCAAGTATACCACTACGGACTTGCACACTTGCAAGTATTTAACTTGCCGTTGCACACTTGCAAGTGCTGAGCAGTTGCACTCTTAGTTTTTCAGTGTACCCGAGGTAAATGTTTTCTGTTTCGATAAATACTGCCGATTGGTTCCACGATTTTGTAACAACTTAGCGGTTTTATTCTGGATTTAGTCGAGCGGTCTGGGGTGGTGTTGGCGCAGGGTAGGTGGTCCGGCGGCTGTCATGGGGTGCGGGGGCGGGGCGGTCTGTGCGAGGAGTGATGGTGTAGGGGAGGTTAGGGAAGTGGGGCGTGGCGCGGTGCGGCGCTGACCGCGGCGTTTAAATAACGGTCGTGTGGTCGTGAATCCGCATTGATTCGGGACGGTCGGTTCGCAGCTCTACTGAGCTGCCGCCTCCCCTCCCTTCCTCACTTTGGCCTGCGTAGAGTGACCAATTGCAGGACAGTGCATATTAAGTCATCGATTTTTTTAAACAAACATACTGGTGCTGGGGTCGAACAAAAAGAACGAAAAGGGACGGCGGCACAGCTCCACGCCATTTTCAGATGCAAAATATTTTTTTAAAAAATCGGAAAAAAGGAACTTGTGTGTTTGTGTTTTTCAGGGTTGACAGGCGGCGCCGAGGGGCGTCGCAAAGGGCGCCACGGGTCCCAGCCCCGCGCCCAGCCCGGACCATGCAGCTGAGCGCACAGGTATTTATTTATATTCCTGAAATTTAATTTTATTCGTCACGAAACGAGTACCTTTCTTTTACAATTTTGTACGGTTGTGTGCGGTTTTTGTTTAATTTTGATACCGAATCACCTCGTGCACATTCATTTTTCGCGCAACTTTTTCCCTTTTTGGCCACCAAATTTTTGAGGTGATGCTTTGCCAAATTTTTGTGGGAATCTTTATTTTTTGTAATTGGATTTTTGGGGGAACATGCCGATGTTTATCGCATTACGGTCGCATATGGATCTAAGTGAAATTATGTTAGTCCTTTCTATGCTGTAGTGTAGCTTTGGCTCGATGTTTATTTCTTACTTTTTTTTTCACGTTCGGCATTCGATGTGTTAGCGCGTCGCCTTTTTATAATGGCTTAAATACCCCAAATAAACTAGTTTAACTAAACGGCAGTCGCGTGTGCTCGTTGCGAAAGTTCACTAGAGACCAACCGTTAATTAAAATACTCCCCTTGGTTTTCCACCTTGTAAAAACATATTGCTCGATAAAAGATGTAGTTCAGTACACGAACTCGCCGACCCGCAGGTGCGCCAGAAGGTGCAGCGAGCTGTTGGAGGTGCACCTAAGTGATAGAGGAGAGGAATCATGCAGCTGGCTGCAAACCCCCAGCTGGTGGACCAGTGCTTGTGAGTCCCTTGTGAAACCCCCCAAAAGCCTCTAGATTTAGTGTTTGATGATTTGCTCATAAAAATATTGTTTTACTAATTGCCCTATACCCTTCCTGTAAGTAACATAGATGTCCTGACACCTAAAGTTTATTTGTGTTTTGTTTATTAGTTAATTATGTTCGGCAGTGACTCAAAGGAGGAGGGTTCTATGTAGGGAGCTATTGTAGAAAGGCTTTCTTACATTTTAAAAACGTTGCTGCTGTTAGTAGAAAAAAATAATCGTAATGGGTGCAAACTTTGATTAAACGCATTATTTCTCTAAGATAGTAATGCTGTGATACAAATGCGCAATTTCCTTAATCTCAATCAGAAATCTAAACAAAAAAAAACAAACAAAAAACAACACAAAAAAACAATGCAATTTTATGTAATTACCATTACCCTTTTTGCAGAAATGTTTTCTGGGTGTAGCTTTTGATTCTGCTTTGCATGTGTTGCGTAACTAATAACCTATTCGATATTGCAGTGCATGAGCATGTGGATGTCATTAGAGGCTCATACATTTATTACAATTGTGTAATTGCATACTTATCTACAGCGTGCCTAGATTACTTTTCAACGTTGAGTATTTTTAGCCTTAGGTTTTCGTTATTTTTCGGGCATGTACTCTCATTCCATTTCACATTAGAACTTGTACCATGTATTGAATCACGGAGCTTGTACATAAATTTTCATTTGGTATTACCGTATTGTGTTTCGTTTGATAATTTGATCATTTTCCAGAAAACTGTCTCATTCACACATTACTATCACAGTGTGATCTTTATACTCTTGTGTTGTAATCTAAGCCGATGCCATTGTGTTAGCAGCAAGCACTGTACATCTACGAGTGAGAATACTCGTTTTGTTGACAATTATAGTTTAAAACTAATTTAATAATTTCTATGCTCTCGACAGCGCAAGAGATATTTTCGGCAAATTTTTACATAACTTTTATGATTTTACTCAAGTGCATCGCGATGTCTTCAAATGGTATTTTGTACTTTGCCATTTACAAAATGTGTAGTACTTGAACATTCTCCTACCTGGAGGCCACTCTTGCTCGAAATCATATTTTAAGTCGTTACGGAGTGCTTGTACATTTACAATCTTGAATTGTAATTGTACGACTTCGTGTCTATTAACATTTTTCTGTACCCGGTACGACAAGTTCACTGTGTATAAAGACTGTTCTAGTAAGGAGGACTATTTTTACTCATTTCCGGTAGCAATCACACGCTATTGCGTGAGGATTTTCCAAAATGTGTCACTATCACGTGGTTTTCTCATAGTGACTGTTGAACAGTGAAACAAGCTGCCTTTGAATGTCCTGACGTGAAGTTGTTTGGCAGGCTGGTGAACCGGCGCGTGGAACAACGGCAGGAGCACAGCATCACGCGCACCGAGATAACTCAGCAGAGGTACAACTTAAAATATCGTGCTTTTGAGAATGCTGTTTTCCGTATTCACAATGTTTTCCTAGTGTTCAGTATTCCTTTACAGTTCATCTATTAGATTGGTTTTCTTCAGTTGAAGTTTGCTTTGTCTCGGCTGCATGTGTATGGTTTTCTTTGACAGTCTACCGACGCCGACATAGTTTTTACTGTTCTTCTCTCACTAATTGTGTTACGAAGATTTCCGTATTTTTCCGTTCTTGATTTGCTGTAGTTCTATTGTGTTTATCTTTTGATACTGTAGTTTTGAACTTTATTACACAGCAGACCTCAGTGTGTGATGCGTGTACACTTGTATGTGTACAGATATGTTACATGATTCTATAGAGTGTATGAAATTCCAAGGATCATTTCCAACCTCATAACACAAAGTGTTAATGGAACACACACTCTTACAAGTTTGTGACATTCACTCACATAGGTAAACTGTGTATTCGATTTCAAGTTGTTTATCATCCATGCGACCCTATTGCGATTTGTGTGTGTGTGTGTGTGTGTGTGTGTGTGTGTGTAACTAACCATTACATTTCCCGCTGTGCCGTTGTCGCGTCGTGTTCCCCCTTGTTTCACCCCGTGCATAGTGTGTGCTCAGCGCCAATGTGTTGTAGAGAAATCTTGTATTTCGCTTCTTTTGTCAATAGCAGGCTGAATTGCCTCAAGCCCTTGTATTTGCTTTTAGTTCCTTGTTTTTGTGCGTAGTAGTGTGCGTACGTTTGCATTGACGTGGCACGCAAGGTGCTTTGATTTAGCCGCACGTTTCGATTTCCCATTTTCCTTTTGTCGCGCCACGCCATGGGTCGGCCGAACCAGCTCACCCCTCCGTCTGCTTCGCCCCCCCCCCTCCCCCTCCCTCCCGCGGTGGAGTACGGCTTCGCAATCTACTCTCCTTCGGCTCATTTCCTCCTCCAAAGTAACTGCGGCGTCGCGTCCCGTCTTGAGCCGCGCTTCCCTAATTGACGGCAATCTGACCACTCCGTCGTCCGGGTCCGGGGGTGGCCGTGGTCCCGTCCCGCCCCCGCCCGCTGGTGTTCGTGGTTGTGATGTTCGACTTCGAAATGGACGAGGATTAGCTTCAAACGGGGTGAGACCACTTTGCAAAGACAGAGGGGGTTTGTTTCAGTAGAGGTCGTATTGACAGGGGAGGAGTAGTAAGTGTTCGCAGGAGACGAAATTTTGTGGTTTGCTACGAGGCAAGGGGCCGCCCATTTTTGACTTTGCCGGAACGCAATCGCGATCCAAGCACGTTTCTCATTTCGCATGGAGAGAACCACACAATGTGAGCACACCGTATGTTGTTGAGGATGGCGCGAGCTGAGGCCCTAGGGCAGGGCTGTTGGCACCTTATGCTCTGTCTCTGGTCAGAGTAACCCGTCCCGTAGCGTAGCAGCTAGCAGCCCACCCATTGGCAGGCGCGATGCTCACCGATTTCTGGCGATGCGAAGGCGCATGCAACTTGTCACGAGAGCGGCCGGCCGGCAGCCCCACCCCACGAGTGCGGACATAGGAACGCGCCACGCCCCGGTGTGTTCTGCCATCGATTGGTCTGTGTCACACGCAGCACGTACACTGCGCTCGGGAAGGTGTCTCCTGAATTGTGCAATTTTTGACAGTAGCATTGTCCGCAGTTAGAGGAATTGAGTTACGTTCTTTATGTAACTAAGGACATTTCGGCATTATTGTGGTGCTATGAGCGAGATTCGCAGTGAATTTAATATTTTTCAAAACACGCCAAACACAAGGTGGTTCATTGTGTCACAATAATCCCTCGTCCTTGCGAATCCCCTATGTTAGTTAACGGGCCGAACACCCACTGCACCTCAGACCTATCAGCTGACATTTTCTGGAATCACGGCGGTACGCCAAGCGAGGCCCGCCCTCGGAACAGCAGATGGCCACCGCAATAAGGCAGCCCGTTCGTTCCTAGCGGGTGCGCTGCAGTCGCAATGACCGGCGCGTTTTCGGCGATGTTCTGTGCGGGTCGCTCCTTGGTGCGGCTCGCCCGCCCGCCCGGACACGCATTGTCTGCCACTGACGCGCCGCGCCCCGGAAGCATGTTGCGCGATGGTGACTGCGCTCCGTTGGGCGGCCGCGCCGCGGTGGTGGCCGGCCCGGGACGGTCTCAACCAAACCTCGGTGCGCGTGCTGCTGGCTCTCACGCACTCAGTAACACACGTCCTGTGATACGCCATGGAAGATGTGCAATTTATTCGCACTGTTTCAGGCGAGCGACTTTTTTTCAGAACACAGTTTCTTTAGAACAGTGTAAACTTTTAAATGACTGACCATTCACGCTCGTTTTTTATTGATCAGCGTAGCAAGTTATGCTCGCACTGGCAAAACGCATTAATTCGCCACGTCTCGTGTAATAGTTTCAACAAGTTTCTGCGTTCTCTGAATTAATCTGCGCATCCTACCAGTTCCTATGTGTCAATAACTTCCAAAAAAGAAAAACACGACGTGACAAAATGCTTTGGCTATATTTGGGGAAGGGCACAGGTGCTACGATGTATACTGAGTATACTTTAGTTGTTAATTAGTTATTAAAAACTTTCAATATTAGGTATGTTGAGTGACTTTTACAACTGAAATGACGCGGTCGCTTCCAAGTTTAAGTGAGCCTCGCGCACTGCCCTTCGCGAGCAGCGCGCGGCCAACTTAGTTTGGCCGGGGCCACATCCATCCCCAGTCCCGCGGCCGGGCGGCGTAACTCAAGTTCTCGAGTAGGCTGTTTGGGGGGGTCTCCATGTAATCGCGGGGCGTGGTCCCCCAGCCACGGAATAAAATTAGACCCTAAAGGGGGGAAAGGGTTCGGCCCCATCACCTACCTACCTGCTGAGCGCACGGAAACAAAACAAAAGGTTTATCGGTCAGACGTAAAATAAACACGGTCTTGTGTTCTGCTCTATTTCCCGTGCGTGGCCGCGGTGCGGTTCGTCCCCCTCCCCACCGCCATAGGGCGCGCGGCCGCCCGCGGCCCCCGCGGCCCCCGCACACGGTGACGGTTGCCCCCCGTTTATGCCCGTTTTCCGGATCGTAAATTCGTGCTGGGTGCATCCGAGGACAGTGGGGCGGAACGAAACGGAGACCACTGTCGCCGAAAAATATATATTAAAAAAAAAAAATGGTTTCATTTATTCCGTAATTTCGGCGACCCGCGTCGTCGCTCCCCCTTTTTTCGCCAGTGTTTTTCCGTTTTCTGTGAGCTTCTAGGCTTGGCCCTACTTGCCGCTACTTCTCTTATCCCCGTCGATATTCTCTGTTCAGGTCGCGCCCGTGCGGCTGAGACGGCGCTGCACATGCGGGTATCGGCGTCGTACGGGCGCGTCGGGCGCGGGCTAAATGATTTTGACACGAGTCCATCCCCCCTCCCCTTCCTCCTCCTCCTCCCTCTCTCCCTCCTCGCGGCCGCACAGTTTCGTGCGCCGAGCAGCATTGCGTGCCGGCTCGCATTTCGGCGAGTGGACTATACCGGGAGGCGTAACAACACCGGGGCACGGCCCCCGCGGCCCTATGGCGGCCCCCTGGCGACCCTGCGGCCCGTGGCGCGGCGTTTGGAGCTGTTTTGAAGCCCTTTTGCTTTGCCCTGGGGACCCAAGTGACCAACCGCGTGCTCCTCTGTGTGTTCCAGGAGAGTGCTCCAGGAGGCAGCACCTGATATGCCGCAGTACACCTCGTAAGTACAGTACAACCCCTCGACTGACAACGTTACGGCCACTCGGATTTTTCTGCGTTACTGAAATTGTTTCGTTAGGTAATGGCCAAAATAGCGCCGTGGCTTTAACTTTACACTCAGATCTGTCGTATAACTTTTTCAGAATTATGACATGAAAAGTCATATAGCTTTGTCTGAATGAGGGAGAAATAATTTGGCAACGTGTTTAGCTTATTGTATAATGCGGAGGGGCTGGGTGGATCCATAAATGTATGTGTCTGGGTAAAAGCGACGTCTGGTTTTGAAACAGTCGAACCTCTCCAATGCAAAAATATGCACGGAAAAAAAGAATTTGCTCCCACAACTAACGATTTTGTTAACATAGACATAACAAATAATTTTTAGTTGCAGGAACAAAGAAATTGCTATGGGAACCAAAATTCTGCTGCCACAACTAACGCGTCGCTATGGTCGGCTATGGTAACAAATGCAACTGTTCTGGTTACTAAACGAGGTTTTTTTCTTACAACAAACGCATTTGTTACCATAGCGACGCGTTAGTTGTGACAGCAGATTTTTGGTTCCCAGAGCAAATTCTTTGCTTCTGCAACTAAAATTGTTTGTTATGTCCATGTTAACTAAATCGTTAGTTGTGAGAGCAAATTCTTTTTTTCCGTGTGGGTACGTCTTGGTTTTTTCAAAACTGCTTCAAAAGTAGGACCAGGACTTCGTTTTTACCGTGTACACACACCATCTTTTCTCACTCTGACCCGGCAGTATTAGCAGCCCGAGTGTTTATGAATTAGATTGGAAAGGTATAATGGATAATATGTACAGACAAATTACGCACGAAACTTTTAAACAACTCTCTGGTACTTGAGACCATTGTCACTGAATCTGGATCTGTGACACGTTATCACAAAAGTTAGCGATAACTCAATTTTGCAGTGCCACGTGACCTTCCATTTGGTACTAGTCCACGTAGAAGACTCAACGTTCACACTGACTTTCTCAATGTGCCTGCCGCCGTACACTTTGACTGGGCTGGCGTTTGCCGACTTTGACGTCAAAAATTTAGCCTGCTGCATTAGTTTCCTCGAGCTTTGCCATGCATATTTGATGGGCGTGAAAAGCGGGCTAGTGATGAAAAGGTTCGGCGCTTAAGTGGTGGTAAAAGAAACAAGAGAAGAGGATGATAAAAAGGGGGCGGGGGAGCTTCGTGTTGTGCTGTTGCTGCTGATGCTGTTATCGCCATGCGCTCCATTTGGTGCTGTTTTGTTGTAATTGAAAATGGTTTTCCAATCCCTCTCTTTATCCCCTTGTGCTGCCGAACCTCCTCTTTATCACCCCCAGCCCCCACCCTTTTCCCCCTTTTCTCTTCTCGTGGCTTCGACCCTCTGTTCTGCCCGTTTCGCGGCCTAACGCGCCGAGCTGGACTGCCGTGCCTTGTTTCGTCCGCCGTAATGCATTCTGCTCGCCACTAATCAGCAGCAGCAAGGATGACCGATGAGGCTTCTCTCATCCGTCTTTTTATTTTTTTACCCTCCCTCATCTCCCCATCCCCATCGTTTCTATGGTATCCCCAGGCGCCTGGCGGTGTGATATCAAAGTATCAAAGCCATATCTGTACAGGGTGTATTTTTTAGGCGTTTGTTATAAAACGGAACT